GAAGTCACCCGGTCGACGTAAATTCGTCACATTATGTATCAATGGCACACCAGTTACCCTCCAACTGGACACAGGTTCTGACCTCACTCTGATTTCAAAACGAACCTGGAACGTAATTGGAAGGCCACCAGTGGAACCCACAAACTGCACCGTTTGTAATGCATCTGGTGGAAGCCTCAAACTGACCGGGAAGCTGAACTGTTCCGTAATGTTCAAGGGGATTCAACTCAATGGTACTTGCTACTTCACGAACTATACAGGCCTTGATCTCTTGGGCCTGGATTAGATTAATGAGTTTCAACTGTTGGATGAACCCCTCAACGCCGTTTGTGACGAAACAACTGCAAATGGCTCCGGTACGTTCACAAGAACATCACGTCCTGACGATTTTGTGGTCGCCACAGTTACAGCCAAACCGGAGATCAGATGGAGCATACGCGACACAGCGACTATTCAGCTTCTGGCGTCCGGCAGCGGTAGCCCTCTCACCTCAGTGCAATTTGGTGAACCCTGCCAGCAGCCCGCAACGTTTCACCCGCGGTCGGAACCCTTCAGTTTACGGTCGCAGGTTCAGGCGGATCGTTCTACTGCTATCCGGAAAGTCAAGGAAGGGGGGCCGGCAGAAGGAACGTCATAACAGCCACACAAAGACCAGCCACTGATTCAAAGATATGGGGGATGCTCTCCACGGTGGACGCAGGGTCGACTATACCACATACGAGGCACACGTAAGATCATCAGCACAGCCGCGTCAAGTGAACCAACTTCAGCCATCAGACTGCGGTTCGGTGAGGGGACCACGTCGCATGGGAAGCCGGACAGCCGTGACATACCTCCCAAGTGGAGGGTACCGGCTCCAAGATCAGCCTGCTGGCAGCCCCAGGGACGGACCAACATGCGACAGAACCTCCATGAGTCGTCACAGTGGAGTTCAAAGCAGCAGTCCGTTGAATAGCCTTCTCAAGGGGGAGGTGTTCGGGGAGCAGCCGTCCCTAATAACCGAACATCACATCATTTGGACGGATATGTCACGTGCAGGACACCGGCCAGACGAAGGCATGCCCTGATTGGTCAGAATGCCAGCCAATCCGAGTAAAGCACCTTTGACTCGACGCTTCTCGCCCCCTCACGGACATTCTGGCACGACCTTGTGGAACACTCTGTGACTACCCTATAAATACAGTTGTAATAATTTTCCTTTGTCTCCATAAAGGGCTGTGTAGAGCTACCGTGCCTTTTGATATACCTTAGTGGGCGGAGCAGGAAGCCAAGGGACCGATACAGAGTTGCACGACCGTCCATCAAGACACAACAGGAGGGTAACGAAGAATAACAATGCCCCACATATTCACAGCGCACTACTCGCGAAATGGAAACTGCGGCCGAATAAAAGTCAATCTGTTACCTTACTGACCACGCGCAGTACAATAGATTCTTTTCGTTCGACTAAGTAGTCAATAAGCCTACGTTGAACTGCAGTCGCCACGACTATTAGCTGCATCTTGTGCGACAGTAAATCTTATAGGTCACGACTACTAAAGACCCGCCAGTGCAACACCTGTAAAATTGATAGTTTCGAAGAGCAAGAGCTTGTCACCGAGTCACACGAGAATAACTGCAGCCGATCGACTATTTCGTCCACTGCATTTCTGGCCGATGTTTTGGGACTTATGGATAAACAAACTCCAGTTACTGGTTAGCTGAAGACAGGCGGGTGAGCGTGGAGCCATTGGGCTTCTATCAGGAAGGTCAGATTCCTGAAATCAACTTCTGAACGCCCGGAACCTACTGCTCCACCAAAAGCTCAACTGGAAAGCCGGCAAGCATCGAGGCCAGTCAATCATTCGATCAACTCAGTAAAACCTGATGAGTGTTCTCTGCGCCACAGAAGCACGACCGAATGTGATCAGCATTCAGGCTTTCCACAGAGGCACGATCGATGTTGATGGGTGATCACTAACGCCTATCAGACAGCCTGGATCAATGTCAGAAAGTCCCCTTTAAGTAGCGTGGGGCCGTTGTAACTTTTGCACTCTCACGCTCTCTCACTCACTCGCTTGTTCGGAATATAGCTGTTGTGTTCTCTTCTGTGAGTCTTTACTTTCCGATACTAGGCACTGGAGCGGGTCAGCAGCAGATACCACGGGGCCGACGAATCAGCAGATATAACAGCTTCCCTCACTTTTCCGTCTTCGATATTAGTCGGTACAACGATCACCCTATAACCCAGCGTTAACGCACTGATAACTGACGAAATGTCCGAAAAAATTGATTCTTGACTAAATCCAACCGAGATTACCAGTCGGTTCAAAAGTTAGCTAACTACGGTTGCAAAATCTTGATAAGGATTTAAATCCTGTTCAAAAATGCACATACTTAGTATATTCTATATGACATTTTCATGCTAGATACTAAACTGCTTGGTAGAAGTCGTGCGTATTATTACTTTTTGGTGTGCTTTTGCGTTTTCAGACCACTACCTTCAGATATGTAACAATCAGAGCATTTTTGATCCGTTATATCGTTCACAAACATCACTAACGAAATACTGCCGGTTGTCAAAAATAAGTATCTATTTATCCTACGTAAACACATAATGACAACAACGAACTTCTATGGGGGTAGACTGATAGTTGTACATCCGCGCTAGAGTGGATCAAGGCCACTAACAAATTCGTCTTTCTTCTTAGAATAAAACATGATAACGGAATACTCGAAAGGACAAGGGACGTGCGGTCGCATTCAACCGTGTACTGTTTTAGGAAGAGCGCAATACGCCATCTCTTCAGTCCGCCTACGTATCCTTTTTACTCGAATGATCTGCCGATCTCGAAGATATCCAGTGTTGATTGGGTCGAGGCAGATGGGCTGAAAGCTGACAGCATTGCCTCTTTAACTCGCTTCCGTTCAACTTCCAAACAATCTTCGTCGTCCACATGACTGTGCGTTTCCAGTAGCTTTCTCGTCAGATCAGCTCGACACTTTTCAGCTAATGAAACTTATTGAAGTTGATGAACGGAGCTGCTCTCTTTTGACAAGCGTAGTGCTGGCTGGGAGCGAAGTGCTAAGCGGGCCCGCACGATGGCGTGATCAGAGTCAAGTTGCGTATCCCAGGAGGAACGACAATCCTTAACTGACAGCCATATGGTCCAACTGAATCCAGGACTGCTTTTTGGTAGGTAACCTTCCATTGACTCGGAGTGTGCGTTTGTGTTGCAAGTTCGTACTGGCCAGGAGTTTTTTGGTAGGTAACCTTCCAGTGACTCGGAGTGTGCGTTTGTGTTGCACGTTCGTACTGGCCAGGAGCAGACGATGATCTGCACACAACTGAAGAAGCTACTCTACATTATCCATACGCTCAGCACCGACTCCGAATCGACTACCTAATTGTGCTTATTCCGGACTTCGTCGTCCGACTTGAGTATTCATATCACCTGCCCGGGCTACTATATCCGTCCTTCTTGTTGACCGAAGCAGTCGTGACAGGTCTTGATGGAACCCGTTCTTTTCAGTCTCGAAATTGGGGCGTATGCTGATACGACAAACAAACACTGTTTACCGCATCGACCTGTGTTAATCTTAATTGAGCCATACAACCACAAGCACAAAGGCGACCGTTCACTGGAATCCAGTCCTGTAAGGCGCTTTCAGCCTACGGGGTGAGCGCAAATCTCACACCGTACATAACA